CTTCCAGCTTTTTTCTTTTTGCTTATGTGGTGCTGAGGAATCGAACCCAGGGCCTCATGCATGCAAGGCAAGCACTCTACCACTGAGCCACCTTCCCAACCCCCTAATGGACTTTCTTGCCCAGACTGGCTTTGAACTGAGATCCTCAGATCTCAGCCTCCTGAGTATCTAGGATTGCAAGTGTAAGCCACCAGCACCCTGCTTCCCTCAGATTCTTCTAGTATTATAAAACAACTCTGCTGACCAGATACCAGTTTGGTTTGGTTTGTTGTTTTTTTTTTGCAGTACTAGGGTTTGAACTCAGGGCCTCATGCTTGCTAAACAGGTGCTCTACCACATGAGCCAGTCAGTTCCTTTTTGTGCCGGCTACTTTCAAGATAGGGTCTCACTTTATGTATGGATTGGCCTGAACTGCAATCCTATTTTGTGTTTTTGTCACTGAAATGCCCAGCCAGGTGCTTGGGATGACAGATGCCCAGCCATTGATTGAGATAGTCTTGAATCATTTATGCCCAGTCTAGCCTTGAACCATTATCTTCCAATCTCTGCCTCCCAAGTAGCTAGGATTACTGGCTTGAATCATTTTGCCGAAGTACACTGCATTCTCCCCACTACCTCATTCCAAATATTCACCTTCATGGGGGGATGGGGGAGGCTGGGAAGGGATGTGAAGGGTAAACAAAGGAGGAGGCTGCAATGCTTGGTAAGAAATGTACGCATTATCCTGCCCATGTAATTGTAACTCCTCTGTACAGCATGTTCACAAATAAAATAAAATTAAAAAAAAACAAAAACAAATATTCACCTTCAGCCAGTCATGGCCAGCCTCTTTGAGAACGAGGAAGGGGAGGGGGGAGATTGGGTATAGGTCTGTTTTCCACCTCCATACTAGGTGCTCCTGAAGATAGAGCCACTTCTTTGATCAGCCCTAAGACCTGTGAGACCTGGGCTTCTCCCTTAACCCCGGGCCCAGAGTAGGTTCTGTCCAGGAAAGTGCCCAGACTCACCTTTCAATGTTGCCTTCTTCAGTACCTTCATGGCATAGAGATGCCCATTGTCAGGCCGGGTGACCTTCCGCACCAGGAAGACCTGAGAAAGTAGAGGCAGAAAACTCCAGGGAGGAGCTGGGAGGAGGCTGAGCCAACTGGCTCTCATCTTCCATAGTCTCTGTTGAGTCTGGCTTCCCTGAGCCCCAAGATGAACTTCTCACCTTTGCCCTCTGACTCTCTGGTCAAGACACCTAGCCCCCACCTTGGACATGACTGGTGCTATCCTCCCAGCCGGGACTCATGACTCACTTTGCCAAAGGATCCTTGGCCCAGAACCTTGAGGAGCTCGAAATGAGATGGATCTGCTTTCTCGGAGCCTGCCTTGACATGGTGCGTGATGGAGATCTCCTTGAGGACGCCCTCATCCTGGACAGAGGAGCAGAGCTGGTGGTAGGCACAGGGCCGTGCTCAGAGAGCAGGGGATGGTGCCCATCCAAGCTGTACCACCAGACCTTAGCAGACCCAACAGACCATGTTCCTGATGGGCCGGCTCTAAGACTCATGGGTCCCAATGGGGCTTCAAAGGCTGCAATGCCAAATCACCAAGGTGCTGGTTCAGGTAAGGCCCGGCTCTGGTCACCCTGCAGGCTCTGACCTGGTCACGCCCCAAGGGATGGCCCAGCATGGCCAGGAAGAGCTGACCCTAGACTCTGGCTGAGGTGCAGGGACCTATGAGGTTTGCCAGTAGGACTCCCCTCCCCCTGCTGTTTTGGTTTTGCTACAATAGGAAGTAACATTTGAGCTCACAATGGGGAGGTAGAATTGGCCTTTGTTGCTGGTAAGGATGAGATGGGGAGTTCACTCTGGGTATATGGAGAGAATTAAGGTACACAGAAGCTTAAGTGTCACCCAGACACCCCCCTTCAACCCACTAAGTATCAGCCTGAGCTCGGTGGGTGTTAACGCCAGAAACTCCATGCCTCACCTGCCCAAACTTCTCTTGGAAACCCTTGGTCAGGTCCCAGCTGTTCTAGGGGCTTTCTGCCCCTCCCCAATCTGTCAGTCTTGCCCTGATACCCTGAGGTGTCACTACCTCATTTCCCCAGGAAGCAAGCCTGAGCAGGGTCCAACCACCCCGTAGGGCCAGACATGGGCTAGGAGAGTCCAAAGCCAGATTAAGCCCTAGTGCCTACTCAGGCACCTGTTTCCAAGGGCTATGCCAGACTAGGACCAGACATCCGGGCACACTCACCGAGTCCCGCTGGGGGCCAGAACCAGGGCCAGGGGCAGGCAGAGAGGACTGAACGATCCTGGGCCGCTGCTTCCTGGGTAGCCAGGGGAGCAGGGCCCAGAGCCGCAGACGGGGCGGCTTGGGATCCTGCTCCATCCGCCCAGCAGGGCCAGCACCATGGCAGGAGCAGGCAGTGTCAAGGGCTGCTGCGGAGGTGGCCAGGCCCAAGGCGGATGTGCAGGGTGAGGGCACAGGGGCTGGGCCCGGCCCAGGGCAACCAATCATTCAGGGCCTGTGGTTTCCTAGCTCCAGGCCTCCACCCTCAGCCGGCTCCCTTCTCTCCACCCCACCTCCCCAGTGCCTGAAGAGGCTACCCTCTGGCCCTCCCCCCATCCTCCTGTGGGCTTACAGAGGGAAAACCTCAGGCCGACCCAGCTGCTGAGTAGATTGGTACCCAGCAGGCAGAAACAGGTGCCTAGTGCGTATAGGTAGAGAAGGGGACACCAACAGGCAGAGGCAGGCATTCAACAGGTAGAGATATAAAAAGATAAGCATCCAGGGGCTGGGAAGGTGGCTCAGTGGTAGAGCGCTTGCTTTGCATGCTCAAGGCCCTGGGTTCAATTCCTCAGCACCACATAAGCAAAAAGAAAAAAAGCCGGAAGTGGCGCTGTGGCTCAAGTGGTAGAGTGCTAGCCTTGAGCTGAAGAGCTGAGGGACAGCGCCCAGGCCCAGAGTTCAGGCCCCACGACCGGACCAAAAAAAAAAAGATAAGCATCCAACAGGCAGGAGGAGGGAGATACACATCACTTGTAAGTATATATATATATATATATATGTATATATATATATAATATATATATATATATATATATACATACATATATATATATACATACATACACAAATACAAATATATATGCCTCCAACAGAAGGGAAGTAAAAGAACTTATGCCCAACAGGCAGAGATAGATGGAGACCTTCACTTAACAGCAGAGAGAGATGGAAACTCAGGTCTAACCGAGGTAGACAAGACCCTTGTACCAACATGTAGACAGAAGGGATATGAACATATCAGGTAGCAACAGATGGAAATACCAACCCAACAGGCAAAGACAGAAGGCAAAGACAATTAGGTACCAATGGATACCTAACATGTGGCATGTACTCAATAAGTGGCAACAGGCACTTATCAAATAGAGACAGCACCTGAAACTCAATAACACAGAGACGTAGGCAGCAACACAACCAGAGCAAGTGAGGTCTACGCAGACTGACAAATGCCCAGAGCAGACACAGGCAGGTGACAGGACAGAGATCGCCAGGAAAAGAGTGAAGGGCAGATCTGTGCATTCTTGTTGGTATAGCCAGGGCTGTGGAGAGGCTCAAGGGAACATGGCTGTTAGCACCCAGCACTCCAGTGTTTGTGGCCAACCCATCGCTAAGGTCTTCTGTTTCCCTGGGTTTTACCTAAACGGGGTCTAGGGCTCCGGTACTGCTCAAGGGTACCATCTCTGCTAGCATTTTGATGATTAAAAAAAAAACCTGTTAACCCCTTTTGGGGAACAGAAAACTGAGGCACAGAGAATAGCACCATCCAAAGCCAACCAATGGATGAAACAACTTGAGCCAAGTTCCTCCTCTGGACCCTGCCTGGCTGGAGCTAAGACTCATAGTGCCAGGAAAGGGTGGGCAGGTAAGCCCCCTCCCTTCCTGTCTACCCAAGCCATCCTTTCCCTAAGCCCTAAGACCAGTATGGAACTTCCCACTCCAGACCTTGACCCTCAGAGACAACTCTGCCTTCAGGAGACTCTCTCTGACAATAGGGGATTAGGTTTAGCAGCCCCATGAAATAACCAAAAAGCAGGCAAATTAGATCCCTGGCTGATGTGTAACTTTCTAGACAGACAGAAATGATGGCTCAGAGAGACTGAGATAGTTTAAAGCCACACAGCAATCCCTGCCCAGACTACCCCAAGAACTGCAACTCTGCTTGTCTTGCCTGCCTCTGACAGAAAACTCCCTGGAGACAGATGCAGCCACCCAGAAACCCCAGAGGACAGAGCCACCCTTCCCCCCACCCCCTACCCCCATCTATAACTTGCCCAGAGTCTTGTGACAGACACTGCTGGAGGCAGGTCATTCTTTGGCTCACCTTTCTGAGACAGGAGACTGGGTCTCTCTCAACTCTGGGGAACTCTGCCGGGGTCTGCATGGTGGGGCTCAAGCTAGTGGCCAGAGGGCCCCGTTACTCATACTTCTGCTTTTTTTTAGCTTTCTTGGTGCCTGGCCCCCCTCCTTCTCACTTCCCCCTCAGCAGGGAGGGACTGAAGACGGTGCAGTCTGCCTTGCTGAAGAGGGGATACTACAGATACCCAAGCCTATGACCCAGGGACAGCAAACAACCCCCTCCCCTCCTGCCCTGTCTCTAAGGAACACAGAAGCTGTATGATGATGAAGTGGAGCTCAGCCATGCCTTTCCTGACAGCATCCCTGCCATGGCTGTGGGCTCCCAAGAATGGCAGTCAAGTGGATCAAATCCAGGCTTGCCCCCTCTCAATGTCTTCCCTGAAGAAGCCAGTCTCAGTGCCTGGGGTGGGCAAGAGGGTAGAAGGTCCAAGAGAAGGCACGGCTGCTGAAGGGAGAGGTGAGCCAGGCCTTTTCCCCCTTCCATGTGGCCGCATCCCTCCACCCCCTTACCCACAGGAACTGACACGTGCTCTGATCATCGGAAACCTTTTCCTTAGAAATAACACGCCTCCGTGTACACAAGGACGTCCTGTCCTTTGCAGGGCCTATGACAGCTATCGGCAGCATGGCCTACAGGGGCTGGGAAAGGTGTCTCCCTTAGACTGAGGGTCCTGTGGCTTTCTTGGGCAGGGGCAGCTGCCCCAGGAGCCCAAAGCTCTCTGGGTGAGCACCAGTGCCAGCTCTCTCCCCAACCTCCTAGTCCCTCAGAAGCAAGGGAAGAATGGCTGTGGCTAGCAGGCTACCAGAAGTGACAAGAGGAAGGAAACAGTCTCAGAACTGCCTTCGCTGAAGGGTGTGGGGGCCTGAGGCTCTGGTAGCAGGAGGGGGAAGGACAGCTACTAGCCCACATCCCTGAGTCCCTGCCCAGTTCACCCCACAGATACTTCCTCTTTATTTACTTCCTCCCACAGCTGGGACAGAAGCCCAGGGCCCCACAACATCGCTCTTAAGAATCCCCACTGTGGGCTCCCCTCTTCCAGCTGTGGTCAAGCCCATCTGACAGCCTTTGGCCCTAATAGACACCAGCCATCCCTTCCCTAGATGGCAGTATGTGGGCCTTCCCAAGGGTTGTCTCTAGGTACATCTCCCAGCATGCCTCTGAGCAGTGAGGCCAGATTGACAGTTCCTGAGTCAGGCCTGGCGTGGAGCAATAATGAAAACTATGCCTTGGGCTGAATGGGCATTTAGTGCACATGGTTGGGCTCTGATGCACTGCGGTCCACCAGGCCTGTGTTTGGCACTGGGATGAGGAGCCTGTGTTTCAGCTCCAAGGGGAGATGTGACAATCCCCATTTCAGAGATGAGAAAACTCGCCTCAGAGACAAAGTGACTTGCCCGAGGCCACAAGGAACAAGTGGGAGTGCTAAGAGCAAAGCTGGAGTCTGACTGCTTTCCATGCCGACACTCATCTGGTTCATCATGGCTCCCTGCAAGGCCTCTCTGCCCGCATTAGACACCAGTGTCATGCCTTTCCACTGGACATCCCTGACAGCTCCTGCCCCTGGGATAGCCAAGCCAAAGCAGGATTTGACTTCAGGTAGCACCGAAAGTAAATACTTGATAACACAACTGTTCTGGGACAGAATGACGCTGTAATCAAGGTGCTATGGCTGCCCAGAAGTGATGACTATCAGCTGGGTGCCGGTGGCTCACGCCTGTAATCCTAGCTACTCAGGAGGCTGAGATCTGAGGATCGCAGTTCAAAGCCAGCCCAAGCAGGAAAGGCCATGAGACTCTTATCTCCAATAAACCACTCAGAAAACCAGAAGTGGCGCTGTGGCTCAAGTGGTAGAGCACTTGCCTTGAGCTGAAGAGCTGAGGGACAGCGCCCTGAGTTCAAGCCTCACAACTGACAAAAAAAAAAGAAGAAGGAGAAGAAGAATAAGGAGAAGGAGAAAGAGAAGGAGAAGGAGAGACTATCCAGCAAGAGAGACCTGGGCAGGAGGCAGTCAGCTGGGTCCTGAGAATACATACTGACCAGGTAGAGACAGGAAAAACATAGTCCAAACAAAGAAGGGCCAGTGAGCAAGGGACTCGAGGCCTATGTGCCTGGTCTTCACCAGCTGGATGCTTCTGGACAAATCTGTCTCCCTATCTGAACCTTAGTTTCCTTCTCAGTAAAATGAAGGTTCAAACTACATGCTCCACCCACAGAAGATTGTTTTTAGGAGCAAAGTGTGCCATGGAGACAAAGAGGCATTATATCCAGACCTTCTCCCTGCCACAGGGTCTCCTCTGGACAGGCTGAGAGGCCAAAGCACAGGCAAAGGTCCCAGGTGCTGGAAGGGTATGCTCTGCCATTCAAGGGAAGTTTCTCCTAATACCTGAGGTTCCCCAAAGTCCACAGTCACATCCTGCCTGAGCTCGGGCCAGGGGAGCATGAGGGATCCGAGAGGGATCAGGGTTTCATAAACAGGAAGAGAGGAGGGGAGGGGGGAGACGCTCTGCTCTCAAAATAGACCTGAAGGCGCTTCAAAGGGGTCCAGCTCCGGAGATAGCTGGAAGAGGGGGCCCAGGATGCCCAGTCCACTCCCAGGAAGGGAGGGAGGCTGTGTGAAGCTCCAGTGTGCCTGAAGATACCAGGAATGCCCAGGTGTGGATGGCATCCCAGGAGCGCTTGCGCTGCACTGGCTGTCTACGCTATAGTTGCCAAAACCCTGAGCCCCCTTTTTGCTTGAAATGGACAAAATAAACAAGCATTAAACAATACTGTGCCATAAACCTTGTTGGAAACTTTTAATGTATACACATCTTATATGTCTTCCAGGTGGCTCTAAGAGGTAAGTTCTACTCTTCTTTTATAGGAAGAGTCTGAGCCTTGGAGACACAATTACTTACCCCAGGTTAGAAGCAAATAAGACAATGAGGAAAGCTTTTAAACTCAGGATGCTGCCCTCCCCAGCCCCCCCCCACCCCATCTCCTCTCCACCTGAAAAGCTACCTTCTCTTTTTCCTGCTACCCAAATCCAACCATCCAAATGCCAGCCAACTG